ATGTTATTCGAAGTCTTTAAATATATATATATATATATATATATATATATATATATCGGAATTTTTATTGAATTTTCTAATAGTACGTTATGTATTTTTGGAAGATCTATTATATAAATACGACAATATAAGTAAAGGGTTCGAGAAATATTAGTTATGTGTTTGCCTGTGCACGTACGCAAAAAGAATCAGTATACATGATGTAAAGAACAAATATACTTTTAATGGTGTGAATCCCTACGGATCGGGCCAAGACAGATAATATCACACCAAATTAATAGTGTACCTTTGGGTTGGTTTAATTGGAGAACAATTAAGTAGAATTCATGTTTCAATTGTTGTTGAGATGTTTTGGGCCTACATTTTAGACAAATGGGATGTATGTCACCAGTGCAATTAATATATGTATTTATTAATGATCATTTGTATGTACTACATACTCCTGCCTAATCATATACATATATTTTCATCTTCTTGATAACTATGTTTAATTGATTAGATGAATTAATTAACATGGAAGTGTGATACATACATATACATAACAGCCTCTTCCAGAAGTAACACTTGTGTTGAACGTTCAAATGCATTGTGATGCTTGTGCTCTAGTTCTGCAGAAGAAAATCCGCAAAATAAAAGGTATCGTATAAATAATTTATTCAGAATTCATCATAAACTTTAACATCTTAGCTTTGCCTCTACATATACACGACCATCCTTCTTGTATATTAATTTTGTGCATACATTAGTTTGTGGCAACTTTAGTTTGATAATGTGATACATGCAGGTGTAGAATGTGTTACGACAGATGTTGAAAAAAGTCGAGTTATTGTAAAAGGTGTCAATATCAACCCAGAAAAGCTAGTTAATGATGTGTATAAGAGAAGCGGAAAACAAGTTTCAGTTGTAAATAATATTATTCAAGAGAAAAAAGAAGAAGAAGAGAAGCAAAAAGAAGAAGAAGAAGAAGATACAATTATAAAGAATTATAATTTGGCTCAAAAGTACAACTACAACAACATGGAGTACTATGCTAATTATTCTCCTCAAATTTTCAGTGATGACAATCCTCATGCTTGCTCTCTAATGTAACTTATTTTTCAGGCCAATTCAATTTTACTTCACCAATTTTCAATATACTCTAATAATTATTATATTGTTACGTATAATAAACGTGAACAATTGATGATTAAGATTTTTTTCCCGTCTATATATACTTGTTGAATTATCAAACAAGTTTAATTCGTAACTAGTCTTAGCTAGGGGTGTACAAAACCAAACCGCAAACAGAGAAAAAGATTCGACTAGTGGTTTGGTTTGACTTGGTTTGGTATTGAAAAAAAAATCCGACTATATTTGGGTTGGTTTGGTTTTAACTAAAAAAAAATCAACCCGACATTATATATGTAATTTTAAAATTTTATTTTATACATAAAAATATTTACTTTGATATAATTTTAAAATATTTCTTATACTATTTCATAGTTTTTATCTTTTAATATATTATTTCAAGTTTAAAACTTAGAATTCGGAATGGTCCAATAAAGGTTATAGTTCATAGATGTTGATAATTATAATAAAACTTAAATCAAAATCAAATTAATACTAATGCAAAAAGAAAATCAATTCAACACTAAGAATGACAATAATATTGAATATTTGTTCTTTAGTTTTACATTGGTTTAGACAATTAAAATACATAATCTAATTTTAATTTTCCTTAAATATTTAGTAATGTAACTAATACTTATTAAACTTAGCGCGGAGAAGTTCACTAGTTAATACTAATGCAAAAAGAAAATCAATTCAACACTAAGAATGACAATAATATTGAATATTTGTTCTTTAGTTTTACATTGGTTTAGACAATTAAAATACATAATCTAATTTTAATTTTCCTTAAATATTTAGTAATGTAACTAATACTTATTAAACTTAGCGCGGAGAAGTTCACTAGTTAATACTAATGCAAAAAGAAAATCAATTCAACACTAAGAATGACAATAATATTGAATATTTGTTCTTTAGTTTTACATTGGTTTAGTCAAAAATCTGAATTTTTTTGAGATTTATTAGTTTGGTTTGATTTATAAATTTAAAAATTCGACACAATGGTTTGGTTTGGTATTTGAAAAATCCGAACCAACCCGAGGTTGAAAAACCCGAAAAAATCTAAATATTATTAGTTTGGTTTGGTTTATAAATTAATTTTTTTTACACAAATGGTTTGATTTGATATTTGAAAAACCCAAATCAACCCGGTCATGTACACCCCTAGTCTTAGGCTCTTAGCTACACAATTGGTCTTGTTTATCCAATAGAAATTTTTCCACGGTTTATATTTAAGTTGAAAATTCAAAGGTTTGTCATATCCTTAGTTATTTGCATAATAAACTTTTTAATATACATTGTTTCAAGTCTTAAATATTTTGTATTCTTTTTCATAATTTTTCCACCAAATTCTTCTCATTGCATCCATTCCCCTTCCAACTTCACTATTGCACTTGAAAAGTACCACAACCCTTTTGATATAGTCCTTTGTCACTTCATTTTTTTCCACAGTCAAGTTGTTGCTAAAGTTATAATAATGTCCACATATTATAGTCAATGCCTAACAAAATGTTTTCTTTTTGTAAGTTAGTATATATAAGAGGAAAAGTCGAGTTATAATTACAAGTACTTTCCTAGAGTTTGCTTGTTTAGTTATAAATTTTAAAATTTATCTTTAAATATTTATACAATCATATAATTTGACCTTCAAATATTTTCAAGTTTCAAAAACTAACTTAAACGAGTTTTGAATTGTTAGCACTTTCACTCATAACACTTTTTTTTAAACATAGATATTTTTTGGCTATTTTTGTGGTTCTTGTCATTGATTAGTTGGTGTCAAATTGGAGAATATTAATTATACGCACTTGGATTCTTTTGTTAGTCAAATGCTACGTACCGTGTAGCATAATTAAATGGGATAAATATGCTCACTTTTTTTAAGATGCTTTTTGTTTTGTTCTAAATTTTTGTGGTAAAAGTTATTCACCTTTTTCCTACTTAAAATAAAAAGATGATTACTACCTTTTTTAAGATTCCAAAATTGCTCTTTCCAACTTGCAACATTTCCCTTTGTCCCTGCTTCCTGATCCCTTTTTTTACTACTACTAATGTTGTTGGTATAATATTAATTATTACGACTATAACAATAAACCTAGTATAATTTCATAAATAAAATCCGAAGACAATAAGATATACATAATAACCTTGTCTATACCTTTATGTGAATAGATATATAGACGATTTCTGATTTGAGATTGACAAATTTCTTACATTCTTCAAATTTGAGTTTGACAATCGATGCAAGAGGATGCTCATGGCATTAAAAAAGGTGAAGTAAAATATATCATCATTACTACATGAAAATATGTTACACACTATATACACTTTAATTTTTTGAGCACTTTTGGTCTCACCTAGATAGCTCACTCATTATAATTTGTGGATTGAATAACTCGACACAAAGTTTTGTCTTCTCTCTCATTTTCAAAGGTTCCCTCATAAAGAGAAAATAGACTAACCCTAGCTCGACTCGTTATAATTGGAATAGAAGAAAATTATTTTATAAAGTGACACAATTTTGTCAAAATTTTTCTAAGTTTCCCTTTGAAACTTGCATGTGCCAACAACTCCACATTAGTTCCAAATACATATGTATCTCCACTTCATGTTAAGGCAAAGGAAAGAAAGAATTTTAAAAAGATATATGCCCTATCTCCTTGTTCCATAAGCTTGATTGTCCAAAAAGTTATTAGTCAAGTATATACTAATTACTAACAATATTAGGTAATTAATTTTATTTACAACATTCGAGCATTGTGTGAAAATATCACTCACTTAGTTTTTGTTTGTCGATCTCCATTAAAATTTACTCCCTCTATCCCTAATTACTTGTCCACTTTTGAATTGACACACTAATTAAGAAAACAATTAATGACATAGTGAGTTTACCATTTTACCCCTATTAATTATGAAGTGGATGAAAAGTTCTACATTTTTCAAAGTTATTAATCATTTAATTGAGGGTATAATAGGTAAAAAAATTGTCCTTTCTTGATTTGTCAAAATGAACAAGTAATTAGGAACAATTATAAAAAGAAAAAAATGAACAAGTAATTAGGAACAGAGAGAGTAACTTGAAATCGTATAGTTCTTTTCAGTTCATTGAGCACTAAACTACACCCTTGTTTTGGTTGCCATTTAAAGAAGGTTCTTGGTTATTTTTTGTCACTCATTATTATTCTAGATTTATGGTAGTAGAATAGATGGTTAAATTTTGAGAAAATGCTAATGAATCAATTCCCTTACATTTCCTTCAAACACATGTGTGAAGGCAACAAACATATTATTTTCTGGACCGCCACTTTCTCATATATGCTAAAAATATATGGGTACATTATATTATATACTTTTGAAGTAGTGGTGGATCCAAAGTGAAATTTACATTATAGATAGATAGTAATTTTTGAGATACAAATATAATCAGAACTATCGAATTCAAGCTTTGAATATGGAGAAAATTTTGTTGGGAGCGTCACCTTCAAATGGATCTGACAACAATTCAAATTTAATCGGAACTTTAATACATTATTATTGTGATGTCACGGAGTTGAAGCCAAAAAGTAGTAAAGAATTAAATTGTTGTGTCATTTTCTATCACAAGACTACAAGGAGTTTTTTCCAAACAAAATTCCACCTCTTCCAGCTGTTATCCAATTCATGAGCTTTCCTACTCTTTTATTTACAAAATTCTTTCTTCCTTTTTTTAGTGAAAATTACAGTTTACACTAAAAGATCAATATTGTATGTCTGATTAATATACATAGTTTTGGAGAAAATTTAATGAGTTTACATGACTTTGTAACTTATGATTCTTTATATCTGCATGCCTTTGATTCGTTGTTTTATTATATGATGGTATTTGATAAGACATAAAAAGTGTACATGCGCATAAGAAATTATTAAAACTGAATTAAATTGAATTAGTTAGTGATTTTGAATTTTAAAGATGGTTAGGAATATATTTTAAGTAATTCAAAATGAAATTAGAACTTGTCGTGTAAATGGGTTGAAGATTTGGTGACACCATCACGATTAATCATGGTTACGTACCACACTAACTATTTGTATGCGAAAAAATATCTTTGTAATGATTCGAGTTTTGTGAATTAAAAAATATATATTACTGTATACATTTTATTTTCAAATGAATATTACTTTGTGATAAGTTAATCGAAATCACAAAATAAATATCGAACATCAAAAATAAAGTAGAGGAGACATACGTGTACACATATGTGCAAGTAACAGTGGGAGTGCAGAAAAATCAACGCTACGATGTCTAGTGAATAAGTTTTAGTCCCACCACTAAATTTCAAACGATAGGTCCTTAGCCATCTTCCTGTCTTAATATATACTCTTCCACATCACTACCCCCTACTTGTGTTATTTTTTCTCGTGTTGGAGTCTAACCTAATTTAAATTCAGTACTCCACATAAGGTCATTTAAGGGGAAAACATATATTGATAGAATTTATTTCATACGTACAATTCAAATTGAAACTTAGTTAACGATGAACAGATCATATTCATCCTATTATCCTCCTTATTGTTCTCTGGCTACTATTGTTATCTTTTTGTATAGTGATTGAGAATCTAATGCCCCAAAAATCTAAGAGTTCCTTTACTTTGTCAACGGAGAGCGAGTAAGGGTTTAAGATCATAAAAAAAAAGCATAATTGATGGGCTATATATATGTGAATATTCATGTACTATCACTTGTTCATTTTGAAAAACCGAGCAAGTTAATGACATATAAAAGATGATTATCGGTTCGAAAGGTATTTCTACATTTGAATGAATGTAACCTTCATAAGCGCATAACAAAAAAATTGTACAATAGTATTCTGCGTCCTAGCTAATTTAAAATAAGCAAAGTTTAAATTTTAAATGTATGAATTATAAACTTTATTCTATAACATCATATATATATAACTAGCTAGTTAACTAATTACAGATTCACAAATAAATATCTATATATATATTAATTAATAGATTTCATAATCCAAATAAAAGGTCCAAAGAAAAGTTATGAATTCGTTCGAAACCATACTTAATATTATAGGTTCATCTCAATTTTCAAACTTACACCAAGAATTC